CATGAAAAATTATCGAGACATTACCCAAAATGTTGTCGTTGCTTCTCTAAAGTATTGTTCCGTCGATACTTTCTACTTTATTCTCTACTGTTACTTTTTAATCTTCTTGATACAATTCGTTCATTAATTACACTAATTTGTGGACTCGTTATCAGTAAAAGCTTAGTTTGATAGGCAAATAAATTTTGGGATTGGTTATTAAAAAAAATATACTAGATATTGAACATTAAAAAGTTGTTTAAAAATTAAATTAAAAATTAAAAATTTACGTATAGTTACGGCTATTATGCTACAATTAAACAATATTTTTCAATATTTATATTGTCTGTTAAAAGCAAAATGACGGCTTTGATTTTCTCTGATACGTCTCTATCTTTAGTGCTTCGAAGGCGGTAGCGACCTCATAACAGCCTTGGATTCACATCCAACGGTATGAATACGTGGACTATCGGACGCACAGTTCAGGTGTAGCTTATGCAACTTGCATAATGCAAGTAATACGGGTATAATTTATTATCAAACTGACGTTTCTTTTTTTGGATAAATGCCTTTGAATTCGCTGTTGTCTTATGCTTTTTCTTCGTGGCCTTGTTGGAATCGTACTTAAAATTAATCATACTCTCGATTTGTTTCTTGTTTGCGCCGCAAGCGCATTCGAATACTTTTTCCGTAGACGTTTTCAGGCTTTGAATTACTCCCAATAGCTTTTGTTTAACCTGACAAGCGCACTTAGGATTAGGTGGTGTCATGATCCGATACAGAACTTTACCCTTGTCACTGTAATTACGATTACAAATATTACACAATTACAATGTTATAGTTGTTGTATATAATTACTTACTTTTTGATAACGTGTTTTGCTCCAGTATACCCCTCAGTGGGCTCATTTACGGAGATTACGGAAATTATCCTGGGTTTATTGAGTGCAGCAACGTCAGTAACCCGCATTGTTACATCCCGAATACAGGAGGAACATATAAAACCTTGTCGTTGACTCGACCCGTGTTGCGTACAGGTAAATAAATAATAGTTAGACATTACAATAAATTGTGCCGTATGCGTCCGAAGAATAAAAAAGCTCTGAAAGTTTGCTCGTAAATACCACTCGATTTGCACATTTACAAACACTCCTCGCGAATGAGATAAATTGAAATTTTTTCTCAATTATTTAAATTACAACGACGAATATTACAATCACTCTGAGTCGCGAGCACGATGAATCGCGATGCGTCTCGTACAAAGTTCGGGCATCTAAAGTCTAACGTACCTCGATACGCCCGAATTTTTATGCCCGATAATTTTGCGTTCCTGTCTTGGCGTTATCTATGCAAATCGAGCTTTCGGCACATGTCATGCCAAAATAATTTACGTCCTACTCGGCTCGTTATCCGAAATTTTTTAAATGTCGACTACCATACTCTCAGTTATCTCTCTATACTATGCAGAGATGTTAGATGTTCTCGACGGTCGTCAGCTAACATCTGCGAAACAGACCTGTTTAATCAGCGACGTTTATCCAGCTGCGAGTGCCACCAAATTCTATGGCGAGATGCGAGCTGCGAGTAGCTTCTGGCTAATCGTAAGCTTTTGCTTATATGAATTTTAGAGAAGTACCAGCATGCTAAATGCCTCTTCAGGCAACTCTTGTAAATAAATCGCACGTGAGCATTCTGAAAAAATTCAAAAATGTAGTCATGTTATTGGATGTAATTAAATCAGGGTTCGCATTTTAATTGTATTTACATTACGATGAAGATCGGATGACTCGAGGGCCACCATTGGGCGGTCGCCCTGAGTCTTATCGCACCGAACACCTTCCCTTACGAGAAACATTGAATTGTATCATGGTAACATAAGAGTAAATATGTATTTGACCAAGAAGAATGAATTTCTAAAAAGAGTATACTCACGAGCTTCGAGTTCTCGACACAGCGATACGAGCGATGATCTCTTGGTCAATTTTTCTCTCGAAATTATTTTTTTCCCGGAGAAGGACCATTCAAGACCCTCGTCGTAAGGAGTTAAAACTTTGGTTTAACTTATAAAATAATTTTCACTTTGCCATTTGTAGGTTTACCAATAAAGGCAATCGCCATCTAGCGGTGGAAATTTTAAATATGATTGAAATTTAATACATTTTTTCAAAGAATTAAAGCAAAAAATACTTCATTACTGATACATGTATTTCCAATAACGATTGTTTTCTGTAAAAACACCTTCAATAAACTTTAAACATGAATTCTGAATTTACATTAAATCAGCATTAAATTTAAGGTTTTGTTATCAGTGCCTTTCTCATCTGACGAAAATTTTTCCGTCAATTTTTAAGATATTACCAGACTCTTTCAGCCAAAAAAATCTAGTTTAAAAATGTCCTAAGATGGCTTTATTGCTCTAAACTGTATTGATTTTATGAATATTTTTCGACGGGTAGTTCAAAAATTCAAAATTTACTAATAGAATCGTTAATCATTGCAGTATTTTACTTGAAAAAATTTTATCAGCGGGCGAATACTGGGCTGCTTTCGTATAACAACGTGAATTCTAATCCGAGCGATAAAATTTGATGATACCGTGCGGTAAAACAAATTACGAAGTGTGTGTGTACACACGTGATGTCATACTCATACCGACGCGACGCTCGCCCGGATGGAACGGCGCAGCTCTCCTCGTGCGGACACGTATGCGACGACGAGATCACGATCCCTCGTTCTCGCATGGTATTACTACAACACGGAACATGCCGTGGCCGAAGGAAGCTGCGCACACATACTTTATAATGCAAGTATTCGCGTATTGGGCTCGGTTTTATATACTAGACCGTATCTTCTCGTCTGAGTTTTATCCCAAGCGGCGGTTATAACCGGCGGAAAACTTTTAACTTTTTTAAGTGGCCTATGCTATACAGGTGTAATCCAAAATACGCGTACATAGGCGTGCGCGACATTCGAAACATATACTCCCTCTTCCTATTCCCTCGCCCGATGACAAAATTTACATTTAGACGAACTTGACGAAACAATACTTTGGATTTCTAAAAGCTTGCTTTATTGCGACGCTATATATAATTGACGACCAAAAAAAAGAAAAATACTCTGCATTCATCGTACGAAGGCGTGACGAGAAGAAAAAAAAGCCTGAAAGGGTGTATGAAGCCACGTATGGAAAATACATTGGCCCGATCCGCTTTTGATGAAAGCGAAAAATACCATTTCGAAAAAAAAAAAAAAAAATGAAAAATGAAAAATGTCACCCTGGAAAAATCGATCGGTAAATATATCTATATACGTGTGTATCGAATTGCAATTGTCGCGCGCGCGAGATATTTTGCATATCAAAAACCATTTCGCGCTCGAGTAGCGTGAAAAATGTCAAGGATTGAATGCTACCGCGCTCGAAACTCGATTCGTCGCTAGCGCTTTCTTGTCTCGCAAAATTTTAAATCCATTGTGAAACTTAAATTCTTTTTTTTCGAACGACGGTGAAAAGAAACAGAAATTCGTCCTTCCTCTCGAATTGGATTTTAAAAATTGTACATTAAATATTCGCTTTCCATCCTTTTGTACCAATCAAGATAAATGGCTTCTTTTTTTCGCAAACACGCGTGCGGAGATCTTCTTTTCTCTCTCTCTTCAAAAAAACTCGCGAACGAGCCGTAAATTCAATTTAATCTTAAAAGAAACGGGCGTAGAAACGCATCTATATATTATATATATACGCGACGATAGCGTGGCCCGGCACACAGACAATGGGAAAGAAAGTACTTATAACAGGTATAAACTGGCGCGCGGACGCGGCCGGGGTGACGAAAAAAATCTTTTCTCGCTCGGTATATACGAAGAGGAAGAGAGAGAGCTTAAAGGGCGCGCGCGAGTTGGCCTAACGCAAAAAATGTATATATGTATATTTTACAGAGTACATGGTTTCATGCGCACGCATAGGTATATAGTCTGGCGGCAGCGCAAGGAGGATGAGGAGGAAGATTTTTTAAAGACTAAAACGAAAGAAAATCTTGAGGCCTTTAGGTTTGTAAAACGTGCTAGATATAATATAAACTTGCGGACGAGCTTTCTCTCTCTCTCGGAGCACGGGTTGTCATGGTGACTCTCGCCGCAGCGCATATATATACCTACGCTGCCGTGTGCTCACATACAGTGTGCAACACAGAGACTACGCCAGGTCTTTACATGAAAATTCGTTCCTGATCCGTTGGACCATTAAACTGCGCGCACTGCAGCGGCAGCAGCAGCAGCAGCAGCAGCGCTTTGTATTGCGATTACACACGCTTTCCCAAAGAGATAAAGAGAGAGAATATAACGTCTTCTTAGGACAACAATGACAGTTTCTACGAGTGCTCCTTTATCCTTATCTCGACGTCGAGCTATTACTTGCTTGCTTTCCCTTTTTTTACCAACCTTTTGGGATGCTTATTCCATTGACAAAGCTAAAGTTATTGTTATTTGTGTTGTCACACACGTTGTAGCAGTTCAGCTGCTGTATACACGACGACATAGTCAACGTTTTATCGACTTGGCATTATTATTATTGTTATTATTTTATTTCTCAAGTCATATACTATTCATTTACTAAAGCTAAGCCGGTGAACCATTCGATAGCTTTATCGTAGATTAATTTTATTCCGATCGTTTTGAAATCGACAAAAAACTCACGTGTTTTCGATACGGCGAGCTTCACCTTCCAAATTATACCCGATGATACATCGCTTGCGTCAACGCTATACCGCTGCATTACGCAAGTAACAATACAGGAATTTCAAGAAAATAATCGAATCGCTATTATAAAGATGATAAATACCCACACTCACACTTATTTTAAGCCAAGTTTGTCATACGAACGCCTATTTACGCGCTGTATATACACTTATCTACTGGAGAGTCGATCTTATCGCGTATATCGCTCGAACCCACGCACTCGTTATATAGCAAAGATAAGCGAAGAGCGAGAAAAAAAGGTGCCTATACGAGTGTATAGCTCGACAGTCGTGAGTGTATCGTGGACAAGAGAAACACATATTAAGTGAACAAGACGTGTATCGGTGTTCTCAAGTAAAAAAAGTGTTTCAAACTTATTCAAGTTTGACGGTTCAACGTGTACCATTTAATAGATTTAGTTTTATAAAAAAAAAAATATACATTCAAAATGAATCATCTTTACCCGAGTTTGCACGAAAAATACCAAAATGAAGGAGTGTGTCCAGTCTGTCTATTGGAAATGGCGTACATGCCAAGGTAATTTGATCAATAATATTACAGTATCGTGAATACATTGCTGGACGTAAATTGAATTAAAATTTTGCTTCCTCATAGAGGAAGCTTTGTGATGGGCCCCATTTTGACTTTCGTATATAATCCTCGTAGGGTATATTCAATGATATTTCTATATACTAGATCGAATTTCTGACACATGTTGGTATGTATGTGTGTGTGTGTGCGTGCGGCTGTATGTCTGTGCAGAGTGATTCCTCGATAACGGTAGCACGTATGGTAATGGGGGAGGGCTTATTTTGTTCGTTGTGATGTAAGGATGAAGCCAGAAAACTTGATTTAGCGATAAACGAAGAAAAAGAATTTTTTTTTCGATTTTTAAAAAATTAAAAAAAAAAATTTTTGTGTAGATAGTGATTTCTCGATAAGGATAGAACGTATCGTGACGCGGGAGGACTTATTTTGTTCGTTATGATGTAAGGATGAAGCCTGAAAACTTGATTAAGCGATAAATGAAGAAAAAAAATTGTTTTTTTTGATTTTCAAAAATTAAAAAAAAATTTTTCTTTTTAGATAAATCTTTACATCAAAATTGCCGTTCAAACCCCAAAAATCAAAGCCATCAAAGTTGCCGAATGATATTAATATTTTCAAATTATTTTTAAGTTAAAAAAAAAGTATGAGGAAGCTACTTGCCAATACATCGGCAGCGGTTTTTTAAAATTTACTTTGTCCGTACTCGAATAGTATTTGTTAAAGTGTATGAGATATGAATTCAATGTGAAAAATAACGAAATATATATTCTTTTACGACATTGTCGTGAGTCTGCATTACCTGCTATCAGTAATGTGCCTAGTGAAATGAAAAAATAAATGAGTCTCATTCACCAGTTGACTGAAAAAAAATGTGCGTACTGCTATTAATAAAACTTTATGTTGCTTAAATTCATTCCTTTTTTTTATGGTGTTATCTATGAAGCAATGATATATTTTTGATACGAAAATATGAAAACCAAGTGCCGTTTCAATCAAATTTTTTTCCCGGAATGAGTGTCTTTTATTTTTAGTGATTATCTTTCTGCATTTGCTCAATGAGTCATGATTGTTACAAAAACATTAGTGTAATTACCCGAAACAACGTTATCACGAATAACATCACGGTATCGGTGCTTCTTTATGATGACACTCGTTACTCGTACCAACATCTTAATATTAAAAATTTTGTTCGAAATCACAATCTACATAATATACGTAAATTAAAACACAATAAAAATCTCAAGCAAAGATATGAAAATTTCGATCGGATTAATGAAAATTCTTATTTCTTTCAGATTTATCTGCTCCAACAGGCACATAGTCTGCAACCGATGCAAGCCTTATTACCACGCCTGTCCGCAATGTCTGCTGCCGCTGCAGGAGATGGCCGCGGTGGCGCAGCCCGCCACAGTCCCTTATCCACCGGCGATGGGTCAACCTGCCGCCGTAGCGCCACCCGCGAGCTGTCCTTATCCGACTTATCCGGCCAGCGCACCGCCGATCCAAGCCTTCCAGGACCCGGCCGAGCATATGCAGAGCCTAGTCAGCTGTCCGTACTCGCATCTAGGCTGCTCGGTCAAGTGCGCGCCGAGTATACGCGAGACCCACGTGTCCAGGTGAGTCAACGACCCTCGTGATTTATTTGTCATGTCATCGTCATGAGGTGACGGTTTTTTATCTCGATCCCTGGTGTTAATTACGCAGATGCCAATACCGTCATCACAGCCCCAATTCGGACGGCGAGCCGCGAGTGGCCTGCCGTTACCAGACGGTCGGCTGCAACGTCAGAACGACGCCGAGTCGCCTACAGGAGCACGAGCTGCTCTGCATCTACAAGGATCGTCTGGCCGAGGGTCTGGAGGACAGACTGCGCGGCTCGTGCAACATCGCCGCCAGACCAGCGCCGCCGGTGAACCTGCAGATCTGCCCCCAGGGCCCAGCCGGTGACCCCAACGAGCTGGTCGAGTGTCGCCACAGGTCGCAGGGCTGCATGATGCGGGTGCCGCGCTGGAATCGAGCTGCCCACGAGGACAAGTGCAACTACAACACCGTAGCCGGCCATCATCCTCATCATCAGCAGCAGCTGCCTGTAGACGTCGCCATCGAACTGCGGGACTGTCGCTACGCCGCTCGTGGCTGCCGCATCAAGTCGCCGCTGCACAGCTTGGCCCGCCACGAGGCCACCTGCCAGTACGCGGACAATCGTCAACAGGTTGTGTATCCTCATCAAGCTCATAATGCCGTCGTTGTCCAACAGCCGCGTCACGAGGAGTGGGTCGACTGTCGCTACGCGCCTCAGGGCTGCCGAGTGAAGAGCAAGTACTTCGCCAGAAACGCGCACGAGTCGGTCTGCACTTATCGTCATCAGCGTTAGAACCGGTCCCGCGTCTCTTGGCGGCTCGAAATCCGTCACAGTCCCGAAAGTCTTGAAAATGATCCGAACGCGATTAATGTTATACATTGTTAGATACGAATGAATGCGAGGCGAGGCGAACGATCTATCTCCCCGCGGACGAGGTAGACAAATATGCCATGGAGTTTTGTATGTATAAAGTTGACATCGCTAATAAGACTTTGATGATGTTATACATAACATATTTTAGGGTACACTGAATGGCAGTAATTCGTGTGCATTATTAAGAGCTACGATACGAGGGATATGCAAGCAATTAGGCTTTCCTGGCTAAATTGCTCTTGTACTACGACATCGTAATTTAGCTCGAACTTTGACCACAACGTGTCTCTTGGTTACGACAATTCTGCATATCTCTCTATTTTTTTTTATTAAAAGCTTGTAAAGGCGAACAACTGCCAACGCCGCAGTCGCTACTTCGGCCGATTTTCGGCTTCATTTCGATTGTTTCAACCGATCGATTGATTCTGATTACTGCATACTCTTAACTGAAGAATTAATTGTATATTAATAGAAGTTGTTTTATGACCGACAATTTTATCATATAAATTGTTATAACTTTGCGATTTGTAACAATCGATCTATTACAAAAACTGCAAAAACTCTGTTCTTCGATTTTACTCATTGTAACATCTACGATTCTCTATTATTTATTGTTAATTTTTTTTTTTAAGAATTAATTATTAAGTAAAATTATTCAGTGAATGATTTCTACTATCGCAGTGTTCGCATCTGTTTTTCATGCGCAGTATGTGTAATACGCGTTATTTACTCGTGCCTCAACTAATGCTTTACAAAAATCTTTTTTTTCGAAGCAAGTAATGCTTCACACGCCGATATTTCGTGAGTCGATGCATTGCAGATTTGGCGCATGGTTTTACAGAAAAATTTCGGCTATGAAATTCTTTTTCTGCGTTTAGTAGCTTTTTCACTTTTCTTGCCTCGCGGCGAACTTTGTATATCTTATGTACGTTTGTCGTACGCAAGAACGATAAAAGAAATAAACTCTAAACGACTGTGATTACCTTCGAAATTTTTTTATTAAAAATTTTCTAAAAATACTTAAATTTATAAAATTAATGAAAATATGCACCGGCCGAGATTCTGACTACTCTACTACTGAAGAATTAATTAATTCGTTGAAATATTTGTTTGTCACACTTTGTTCTTCTGGTTTAAGCTCTCACATATTGACAGAAATTATTATGCTGAATACTGGAAGAAAATATAAAACCTTTTCGTTGACTCAACTCGTGTTGCATGTGTCACGTCCCTTAAAACAGGGCCGCACGTACCTTATTATTTTATATTTAATTAATATCTTCCCGATACATGTTGTTACATCCCCAATACAGGGCTGAACGTACCGTATTATTTTGTTTAGTTTTTAACGTCCGTCGGATACCTCTGAATGGAAAGAATTAAATATACAATGTTTACAATTTTGTTTTAAAGATTTTATTTAGCTTACTTATACAATGGTAGGTGTTCGGATGTCGCTGCTTATCTATTCTCACACACAGTTCTGATGTCGCTGCTTATCTATTCTCACACACAACTATTCGCACAAATTATTCGACTCTTACTCGACAATTACACGATTTACTGTACTGACGGATTGAACTAACTGCTTTGACTTAACTTAATTGAATGAATTACTTTCCCGAACTGATTTAATTAATTTCCCGAACTGAATGATTGACCCTTCCTCAACTGCCTTAATATACTCGCTCAGTTCCGGATCCGTTTCCGGATTTTCCTTATTGTTACCCGGAGAAATTCCGCCAAGTCGCAATAACATATTTTTTTCCTCGTTTGAAAGTCGCGCGTGGCCCAGCTGTTACCATCCGGGTGTCATAAACCGATTTCTTACATATGTTACCAGCGCGTGATAGAACGTCGTCTCGGTGACCGATCTGACTTTCCTTATTTTTTACAAATTTTGCCAAAACATGTTTTTTACGTTATAAACCGAATTCATTTTAGCGCGTGTTAGCGGGCCATGTGCAGTTACTTGTTGCGATCGGGAGTTTCCGATATCTCGCGAGTACGTCACAGAGTCATAAACCGTTATCTCTTATCAGTTCGATCGTCACTTTTGATCTTATCATCTCTTATCATATCAGTTATCGTGACGTCACTGGTGACGTTACAATGTGAATGGTTATGGAAGGGATAAGTGACGTGTACAATTTGTTACATCCCCAATACAGGGCTGAACGTACCGTATTATGTTGTCTAATTATTTATGACCGTCGGATACATTTGAATGGAAAGAGAATAGATACACAGTGGTTACAATTTTAATAGGTTTTTATTAGGCTTACTATTTGGTTGACACTGCTTATACAATGGGTAGGTGTTTGGCTGACGCTGCGTATACAATACGCCGACGATTACGTATTCTCACACGCACACACAGGTAGTCGCAATTGCTCGACTCTCACTCTACAATTATACACTTGACCGTTCACGATTACTTATTCCCTGTACTGACTCGACTTGCGGAACTGATTCTATTGACGACACTTCAACGACTATACCGGGTTGACTCGAAACTTATTACTTTCTTTCACGCACAACTTTTCGCACAAATTACTTAGCCTGGTGATACAGTGTTCGATTTACGTTGATGACTGACTGACTGCCTGAATTATCCTTCCTCAACTGCATTTATATACTCGCTAAATGCAGTTTCCGGATTTTCCTTATTGCTACTCGGAGAAATTCCGCCAAGTTGCAATAACATGTTATTTCCGCGTTTGAAAGTCGCGCGTGGCCCGGCTGTTACCATTCGGGTGCTCTTATCATGTCTTACTTATCAGTTACGTGACGTCACTTTTATCATTTTGAGGTGACGTTACAGTAGGGATATCGTTATTCATATTGAATTGTCTAAATTTGTAATTCCAAATTAATTTATCTCCAGTATAACTGGGTATTCCTGTTCTCTCATTTGGAGTTTTTGCCCATAGATAATCGTTATGATTGAAATTTCTTATTTTTCGCCCATAAGTAATCACTGTGGTTGAAATGGGGGTCTTTGGTAATGTTACATTCCCAATACAGGGTCAATAACAAATAGAATATAAATATGATATGTTTCCTATGAACTATCTTTTACTATCCGTGCTGCTGTGAGGGGATAGACTGGAATGGGAAATAATGAAATATGATAAAATAGACTTACAGTTGTCACGTCCCCAATACAGGGCCGAACGTACCGTATTGTGTTATCTAATTTATTACCTTCTGATACGGCTGAATGGGAAAAGAAAGATAGACAATGGTTACAATTTAATATATATTTATTAATCTTACTACTTGGCTGACGCTGTGTTTACAATTTGAAGGGCCGACGATTAGGTATTCTCACACAATTCTCTCACTCTGCACTGTATTGTCCACTCCCTACACTCTTGACCGTTGGTGATCTCGACACTGACCGGTTGTACGACTCGAAACTTATTACTTTTTACACTCAACTCTTCACACAATTTTTAGCACGGTGATGCAGTTGTTACGGCTCTACTACTGAACGTTATACACACGCCCTTATGTGTTTTATAAGTATTAGTCTACTTGCCGATACTGCTGGTGGAAGGTTGAATGAGTTGATATTGGACTTACAGGGTATAACATTTATTTCTTACTTTTTGATTATGCGGGTACACTGGTTGACGAAGGACGAGATGCACACACTGCACTACTTATATTCGCACTCTCTCTCTTTCACGCAATACACACTCTGGATGTTCCGCTGGGCTGACACTTGGTGGTGACTGGTTGAACTGGCCGAGGGCTATCCGCGTTATGACTGGCTATCGACGGAGGCTATCTCGAGTACGTCGACTGTAGACGAAAGACGAAAGAGACGAGAAAGACGAAAGACCAAGACTCAAAGAATGCTCCGGAGGCTGAATTGCTCCGCGCTTATATACCCCGCCGTATCTGTATCACTTGAAGACTTTGTTGTTCTCGTGCAACACCGCGGGTGCCGTCACGTCATTTGTTTTTCCCCGATGCCCTACGGAATTTATGGCCCTCTTCAGCGGGTTACGCGCGGTCATCGTGCATCAAAGCGCGGCTTATGCGTAACTCCGGGTTACCTCGAATTTTGATAACATGCGTGAGCGTGCTCGCGGCCGTGCGACGACGGCTTAAGAGTCGCGGTGATCATTATCGTAAAGAAGCGACGAACCGCCAAAAACATCACCCGTGTAGATGTTTTGTCGCGGTAGCGCGACACTTGTTTTCGGGTGCCTCGTGCTAATTTCGATTGCCCGTGCGCGCGATTCTTACTGATTCCGCTGTACATGCCCCGATTGCGTGTGCCTGTGAATCAGTTGCATAGATTATGTAACAAGAGTTTTATTTATTTTACTGTTTTTGTTGTTGTTTTACAATATGGTTGACAATGGATGGTTGGCGTTCGCACATGCGCACTCTGCTCGACTGTCATTTTTCTTTTTACACACTCACACTTTGGTGGTCAAGATCGCTTGACCGTCACTCCACTCACTTACATACTTGACTATTTCACACACTTGGACGTTGGCGAATCTACCACTGATATTGACTTGAGCTTAAACCGAACGGCACTCCCGACCCGATCGACCTGCTCCGAGTCTTACACCCTCAGTCGAACTTTAAAACTTAAATACAATTTTATACACACAATTATAACACTTCTCTCTTTTTCTTCCTTGAAGTACATACATCTTAATTTGATTTAGGTTTAATTATATTATAACGAATAGTTGTATCGTGATTGATCGTTCTCATCGCGACTATAAGTTGTAATTTACCAATTCGCCTTATAAAAGACAACAGTAAAGGTAAAGTAAATTAGTCGACGAAATTATTTGTTAATACACGATGTGTTCCAATGTGTACTTGGATTATAAACGTAAATATATAAGCGATTATTGTGTTCCGCGCGTCGAGGAGAAAATCAATGTATATGCGATTTCCGTCTGAATTGATATGTCTATGTACGCGAACTTCGACTTATTGAATTCATTGTAACAAAACAAATTGTATGAAGAAGATATGTTCGATAAAAGGATATTTAATAAATTCGCTCGTTCTGCGAGTATACATCGTAAAATCCATTCGTTCTTATGTATGTGTATACCTTATTTTTATCCTCTGCTATATCCGGCGCTCTGCGGAGCTGAAAATCCTCTTGAATTCCGATTATATATGTGTACGAATAATGCATTATCATGGACCAAGCTCTTCGATGGATTTTCCGATTCTCGTCGCGCGCACGATGTCGTCGTCGTGCATTAGAATAATAATAGTCGGGTATATTTCTGTAACGCTACCCGTAACCCGACAGCTCTCAAAGCCATGCGCAGTAACCCATCGGGTATAGGTGGTTAATTTAATTCTCGACGTGTGCTTCAGTCGATTTGCATAAAAGAGCGACAAAAAGTCGTATGATTTTTTGCAACGTGGTGTATATCGTGGTACGGCAGAAAAACAGCTGACCGATCTTTTTTCGTTATCCATGAAAATGTCGCGGGCGATTTCATAGAAAATTATAAGTACTATTTTGGCGAAACAATGCAATGTGACAGAAAATGAAAAATAAATCAAACTTGTGAATTTTCTACAATTCTTAATTTCTTCTTTATTTTCTAAAGATTTGACAGCCTATGATATAAAATCATTGGCAAACTGGAAAATGTGATTATTTCTTTTCTTAATGATTAGATGATAGTGGTAAATGAAGACATTATCTTTTTTCAAAATTATAAATTCTAGTACCACAAAAGGGTTTCAAATATTCTCTTATTCGAAGCAAAACTTTTCTTTTGGGTTTATATTAGACCATTGAAACTACGAAAACTATTTTTTTTCAATTCACGTTTATTCTCTCATCATTATTAATATTTCCTTACTTATAAATTTTCATTAAAATATCGTGCACAGAATAATAATTATTGTTCATTTGGTATATTAATAATGTAATTTTCCAATATCATAAGACTTAGCCTTATTTTGTTTATACACCGGCTTGCTCAGATTTTCGTAGCATGATATGTAAATATTATTGAATAAGATTGAACTTATTTGGTTTGACATTATTCGAGAAAGATTAAGCAAAATTCTGAATGGAAAAGATGGGCTCCACTGATTTATTCAACCACAATGTCAGGTAATTTCCAATATGCAAATAAAAGTATTAAAATATAGCATTATGATCAATCGCTGGATTTTTTCAGAGTCAAACAAGAACCCTACGATGAGTTGCTAGATGAATATTATTATAAAATGATTGACATTAAGCCTGATGTTAAGAATATTCAATTTTTGGGAGAAAATTCAGTAAGGATAAGCAATTATATACGATTCGCAAAGTACACATTTTTTTATAAAATTTTTACATAACTTGACATTTTATTTTAGATGCTTCAAAAACGCAACGATAATCAAAAAACTGAACTTGATGAAATCGAAATGGAATTCGAGTGTGTAGACGTCAAGCTCACCGTAGATCTATTAATAAATAAAAAATCCGACGATTATTCTCGAAATTATTTGCAAATTACGAAATGTAGCAATGATTATCAGATTCAAAATAAAATTAAAAAAGAAACCGCAGACGAAGTGAAAAAAGAAGTGAATTTGAATTTTGATTGTGAACTCGACGAGGAAAATGAAAAAAGGAACGACACGGAAAAGTTAAAAGACAGCCTCAAAATACACTCCAAAAAGTTACGTAACGGTACCACCCATAGCTGTAATACATGTGGTAAGACATTTACACGACTGGATGTTCTCAAACGTTATATCAAATCGGTACATGACAAAATCATTCATAAATGTGTTATTTGTGGGAAGAAATTCTCAGACAAGTGTACTCTCAAGAAACACATCGATGTAGCACACAATGGTGTCAGACATGCTGGTAATGTTTGCGGAAAGTAATACTCACATAAGAGTGATCACAAGAAACACATCGATTCGGGTCACAATGGTGTCACTCATACTTGTAATTTCTGTGAAAAAAAATTTCAAATCGTTACATAATGTTAAAACCTTTGAGTGTGAGACACGCGGAAAGAAATTGGGCAAAAAAGAAATCTCAGGGCCTATATCGATTTTGCACACCAATCACGCATTATGACCAAGTGAATTGATAAAATGTATGTTTAATTGTATTTGAAAGGACCATGAACGATCTATTGTGATTGTTCGAGACTAATTTAATGATATTCATTCATTACGATATTATCAATGTTTTTGATGTTGCGTTTTTTCAATACGTAAAAATATTAATAACGATTTTTAAAAAAAGTCAATAAATTCAAAAAGAACATAACAAATTTTGAACTTATCACTTGCGTTCATCGTAAGTAATTTCAGTATCAGAACTAAACCCTTCATCCAAAGAAATTCGAATACCATCAAACCGCTTGATTCATTCATTTTATATCCTCATTACTTCTTTACAAGTTGTTATTATGCCTCGAGCTTCTGAGCGCAAATCGGACGTGCCTCATTTCAGGTCTGATTCCTCATACCACAAGAAGTTTCACTTACATAAAAATGAGAAGTAAAAAAAAGAAAAAAAAAGAAAAAACATTAACATACAATCTCTCGGATTTCGAGTAAACGACGCCAGTCGTGGTGGTGCTCGCAAGCTCGCTCGGCACGAGATATATACCGAAGAGAAAGTAAGAGGAATTTAAAACGCACGCACGGTGCGTCTGTCTGACCATACATATACATCTATCGCCGAGCCAACCAGTATAGTACGGAGAATCGGCACGAGTTTGTATAAGCCAGGCGCGTGTGCTGCAGCTGCCCATCGTGTGTGTCGTGGAGCGACTATACTACTCCGCCGTGCAACTTTCCAGACCCTCTCGAAAGCTCGACGCGCCTTGCGAACGTACATCTGCTCGGAGGAAGGGGTTACAGGTAAAAATACCCCCTCGCGTACACGGCAATGCGCGAATAACGTGTGTGGATCTCTGGGAAAAGCTCGAACCTCAAGGGCGAGTCGCTGCTTTAGCCTCTTCTGCGGAAATATAATACGAAAATTTACTACGTATAAACATACATGCGGCAATGGTATGCGCTTGCGCGCGCTATAGTTGTTGCATTAAAAATGCTCGACGAGCCGCAAGCAGCTTTACAGGCTCTCGACGATGTACACGGAGAAAACATGCAGCTCTGTACACACGCGTGTATGTATGTAAGGTATGAGTACGCGGCGCGCCTCGTTTCGGCCCGAAAGTGTTGCTTTATTAAATATTCCTCAATCACGAAACTTTCGCGCGCTTGTGTAGGGTATACACTCACACACCGAGTGTTTAATGGTTGTCTCTGAGCACACACACACGCGCACGCCATAAGTCTGCGCTTCATTCACTCGTTTGCCCAGAGACTTTATATGTATATTATAATATACGCCCGTGAAATTAATTCCGCGGGACTCGTTCTGTAACGGCGGCGACGACGGCGGCGACCAGAGGTGAAAAACTACCGCCTGACGTATGCAAATTGCTGCTATACTTCAAAGCATATACATAAAGTTTGCGCGGTTCTAAACTATAACACCGCGCGCGGTGAGATCGCGAGGCGATTTGAATTATTCACAAGGAAACGTTTACTACAATCGAATCGGAAAAGAAGAAAAGGAAGAAGAAGCAAAAGAAAAAAGAGCAACCGATGTCAGACGTTAGATGCAGTGCAGCGGGTTCGTGTATAAGTCGCGTGTGAAGTCAGGCCGTTAATCTCCGACCATGATATGAGCGACCGCTCGAGCTTTTACGATCGGCTACGAGCCCAAAGTAATCCACATCGCTTATAAATTGTCTAACGTTCGATTTAAATTGTATTAGATAGTTAAAAATTGCAATGGTACGTATATATATTTGTATATATAGTTCCGAACTTTAGTCAGTACCCGATTTTTTGAGTTTTACTTGACTCAAAGTCAACGAGTCAGGAACGCTCTTGTTCCCAAATGTTTTTGGATAATGGCTTATAATTACATAGATAACTTCGATCTCGATTCAGATGTGACTTGCCAATCAGATTGGCTATAATTCTCTATTCGTCAGTTGCTCGATGGTTGCTCTAGTATAAAATAATAGGTACAGTGTCTTCACAGGGGGGTTGTCAATAAATATAACATACTGCGCACGAGCTGTGAGAGAGAAAGAAAAAGAAAAAGAAAAAAGAGGTATCCAGAGCGAGTAACAGGCGCGATTCGCGTTTTGCAAGTCTATAGTCGAAGCCATAGAAACTATACAGATAGCCAATGCACATACATAGATATACACGATCTATTTTATTACCCGTACGTCGACGTTCGACTACTATTATACCGATGTAGAATCTACGCGAATTCTTCTATATGCTTCGTAGCTAACATTCGAATCCGTACCTAACCGATATCGATCCACGAGGGTTTTGAAGCTTTCTCCAAACAGTATAAAAATCAGTTTTCAAGAATGAAATAAGTTCGAATCTGTGACATATATTTTATTGTGTAATATATCATAGATCCTAATTGTGACAGATAAAAACCGTGTACATAATAAGCTGGTCGTCGACAAATCTCAATGAGCAGCAACGATTACCGTGTCTTGTATTTTCAAACTTTTATAGTTACAAGCTCAAGACTTTGTCTGTGATAGTATAAGAACAGTTCGATTCTCCTTTAGGAGCACATACTTTGTCTCACATATACGCAGTGGTGGACTGTGGAGCACGCCAATCAAAAGACAGTGCGCGACGATCATAAGGATCTCGTCTGTGATGAGTGCGAGGAAAAATTTGGAAAAAAATTGAATTTGATCAAGCATCAAAAGACAGTACACGAGGGTCTCAGGGATTTCACCTGTGATAAGTGCCAGGAGAAATTTGGGCAAAAATCGGATTTGATCAGGCATCGAAAGACAGTTCACGATTGTCGCAAAAATTATGCTTGCAACCAGTGCGAGAAAAAATTCGGACGTAAATATTATATGCTCTTGCACATAAGAACAGTCCACGAGAGTCGCAAAGACTACGCATGCAAAAATTGTGAGATGAAATTTGGACAAATGGCGAATTTGTTAAAACACCAAAAGATAGTACACGAAGGTCAGAAAGATTATGTATGTGTCAATTGCGAAAAGAAATTTGGACACAAATGGCTTTTGTTTTTGCACCAATAGATAATCCATGAGGGTCGAAAAGATTATGCATGTGACAAGTGAGAGAAAAAATTCGGACGTAAAAGTCATTTGCTCATACACCTAAAAACAGTCCACGGAGGTCAGAAAGATTACACATGTAAAAAGAGCGAAAAGAAGTTTGGGCATAAACAGCAATTACTTGTCCACCAAAGAATAGTTCATGAAGATCGAAAAGATTATGCATGTGACAGGTGTGAGAAGAAATTCGGACGTAAAAGTTATTTACTCTGACACATAAAAACAGTCCACGAAGGTCACAAAGATTACGATTGTGATAATTTTGAAAAGAAATTTAGTCAAAAATCATATTTGCTTTCCCATCAAAAGACAGTTCATGAAGGTAACAAAGATTTCGCATATGATAAGTGCGAGAAAAAGTTTGGACGAAAATGGATTTTGATTCAGCACCAAAAGATAGTCCACGAAGGTCGGAAAGATTTTGCCTGCGACAATTGCGAGAAGAAATTTGGACAAAAACCAAACTTGCTTTGCCACAAAAAGACATCACACGAAGGTCGCAAAGATTACGCTTGTGACAAGTGAAAAAAATTTTGGACTAAAAGAGCATTTGCTCATCCATCAGAAGACAGGCCACGAAGATAAAGATTACGTATGTGTCAAGTGCGACAAGGAATTTGGAAAACTAGGTAATTTGAGAAACATCAAAAAACCGTCCATGAGGGTTGTAAAGATTTTGTAATTGCTCTTGCACCAAAAGAAAGCTCGTGAAGGTTGTAAAGATTATGCACGTCACAGTTGCGAGAAGAAATGATAATTTACAATTGTAAATTGTTATAAATACTCGTGCATCTATAATGTTTTTCTAAAATTACAATAAAAATTGTGCTGAAATAATTGTATATTACCTGAACCACAGATGTTGAACTACCATTACACTTTTGCACACCGATGTTGTGGTATTTTCATATTTCTACTACACTAATTACTGCTCTCTTTTTATTTTTTTGGTAATTGGTTTCTGCAGCTCTTATAATATATTATGTACAACGATGAATCGAGAGTTTTTTTCTGGTCTTGTTTGGAACTATAAATGAGTCAAGCATTCAGCTGGCTACTAGATTTCTAATAAAACTTACGAATTACGCGACCAAACACGCGTTAGTGAAAGATTTACATAAATTTGCTTACAGACCGATTACATGGTAAAAGCTCTTACAGTTACTTTTGAATTACCTGAGCGTTAAATCAAAGTTTGTGTATATGGGGGCGGCACTTTTTCTAATCCGCCACTGTCAGCCTGTGTATAGTATGTGCGTGTGACGGCGTATGTATCGCACTTGCTCCCATCATGGTTCTCTCTTTTATGACGAATACGCGAGTATGAGCGTGTGTACGCTTTGAAACCCGGCTTTAGCCCGCGCAGACACAATCTGCCATGCTGCACGGAATATGCGATGTATATACCTATACATCTTTTAAATATTCGCAAGAAGACTCGTGTCGAGCACCAGTCAGTAGGCAGTAAATATTTGCCCGAAAGTCATTAAAGAGCAAGTTCCAGACTCCGCGCGTATCGTCTATATACACATATATTCGGCAGAGTATATGTTGGTAAACATACGCGCAGGTATACAATTCCATTCGACTTGGCTTGTATATACCTGCTGCGTATTTATATATTCCCGGAGCTTGGTAAATGCGCGCGGCTTGCCCTCTCTCTCTTTCTCGATGCCTGCAAGGCCTTCGCCGCTGCTATGCAGTTATCTAAGGGAAACGGTCGAAAATGCGCGTGAGCTCGTGTTCGAATGCCGAGTAGCTGCGAAGATATATTGCGCGTTTGCTCCGACTTCCGAATTAACTCGTGAGAAAATTAAGCTCGAGAGGTCCGCGCGAGTCATTTATTACGATCCTCGCTGTTGCTACTGCTATTTCCACTGATGCTGCTGCTGCTGCTGCTCGCAAAATAACTGGCACGCGCAATTGGAAATTGCGTCGGATGAGCACATGGGTGAGGAAAAAAGTTTGTATAAGAGTACAATGTTTCCTGGGCACGAGGAAGCTCTAAGATAAGCTCGAAAACGAGTTTTTGAACTGGGCGTCGTATAGCATGTCTGCAGAGCATAAGGATCGAAGTATTTATTATATCTAATAACATTGAGAATGAAGCTCGAAAAACCCGTAAACGAAGAGATTTGTTGAGTATTTTGAAAATAACATGCTGAAAATGAAAATAGTTTTTTTCTTGGATGTGTTCGCAATTTTAGGTTCTTTGACAGTGCTGAAGTGATTTATCGAAAAATTTACTGATGACAATAGACTTAAAATGTATGGCTCAACAGGTGTAAAGATGTACATTATTTTGAAGGTTTTATAATGGAAAAATTTCTTATTTTACCATGATTAATTAATAAAAATGAAGCCATCTTTGCCCAATGTATTGACAGCAGCTTTCTTATCTCGATCGGGCCAGGAGCAGATAATTACGAGACCTATATTTTGAGTAATAATCGAGAGTCTCAGGATATAATACGCAATAGCTCCTTGATTAGAAAAGAGCTTGCGAGCTCCTCGAAATACAGTACATTCCCATTGAACCTGCCATCGTAAAAATATTCCAGTACGGACTTTTGTCCTTTCGGGTGCAGTGTATACACTCGGTATAATATACAAACTGACGCAGAAGCTCAATTTTCTCAGCAACTTAGGAAAAAGAGAGGTAGCAGCAGCAGCAGCAGCAGCAGCAGCAGCAGCAAAAAAATGAAAATGTGTATTTACAGCAAACTGTACGTAGTCTTGTACGTATATAAGCTTCTTTGTTACTCGCCCGGAGAAAGAGAGAGAGAAAGAGAGAGAGAGAGAGAGAGCTTTTTCGTCTGCGCGTCGAATATATACTCTGAACGGATTAATTTTCGCACGCGCGCGCGCGCGCAAGTACAAGAGTCGTACGTATAATATATAAGAGGAGGTGCGCGTACAGAGAAGCAAAAAAGCTCGCGATAAAGTCTGCGAACGAAGTAAGTGTACGAGGCCGTCTCTCGTTGTCTAATAACATCCTACCAAGTCAAGAGCAGTAGCAGCAGCACTCGGCGCAGCGCTAATACTCTGTATACATGTATACGTGTGAGATAAGGAAGCTGTGTATTTGTGTGCACGCAAGTGTGCTGCGCGAAAGAATTTCTTTGAGCCGCTGCTGCACACGCCCATTGACGAAGTGGCCGAAATCTCTCTCTCTCTCATACACACTTACACACGTAAACCATCAAATAAACGAGGAGCACGCTATATAGAGAAACCTTTGAGACGAGAAGGAGGTTAATCCAAAGGGCTAACCACATTGCTCGATCGTCAAAGCCGACGTTTAGACTCGGTATAGATATATAGAGCGCCCGGCAATTCGAGTGGTTGCGCCGCGATGATGACGTCTTACGGGTGACTGAGAGAGACGATCCGCAAGCCTAGAGATGTGCAAGTCTGTCTGTGTGTCCGTCTTTGCCAAGAAGACGTATGAAACTATGAAGTGGGTAAAAGCGGAAAGAAGACGATCGAAGACGTGTGACCTCTCCTATGGGTCGAGGCCGTCCGTTCACCTTTATCTCGCAAGCCGGTATAACGTATAGACGCATTTCCCTCGAGCGCGGAAATATTACGGCAAATAGCCGGGTCAGTTGTACTCGAGCTTAATGAACGTATTAATGCAAGAAACTGCGTGAAACTTCTTAAACTTCAAATAGAGTAGGATCAAATTTTAATCATTTATATTTATTCAGTGTATTATTATACATGTCTCTGATTTACGTTCTTATAGTTATTCTACTTGCTGTGACTTAAAAAGTGTGGATTTTACTAAAATATAATTACTTACTAGTTTCGGAAAGTAAGGCAATTCGTCCCTTCCCATAACGCGGTATATCAAGTAACAAGTTGAATTCCAACGAACACTCAATACTCTCAATTAAAAATTAAACCTTTTTTTTTTGCTTGTTCATGCTCGATCGCTTCCGATAACTACTCGAAACGATTTATATTATATACACCTATAAAAAAAATATCGAAATATGTCGACGCGCGATAAGCCCTTCGAGCAGACGCGTAAATGAAACTCTGATTATCGAAAATTTAATTACACGCCAAATCGGATTGCCCCGAGAGAAAGAGAGAGGTGCTGATTCTTTTTCCAATTAAGACGCCATATAACACAATTAACGGCTTTTCTCTTCGACGATCGGGCTTGCGCACTCTCGCGCCCTCACGTCGAGCATCTTAAAAAAAAAAGTAAAGCACATAATGAAATGAGAGCTCTCGATCTTACTCTCGAGTGAACTATAAAAATTATTGTCGGAAAAGCGGTGAAAATTATGAAAAAAGTAAAGATGAAGAAAGAAAATGCAGTGGAAGGAGTGGCCAATATCGCGTTCCGGAATTAAGAATACTGCGCTGTGACACTGCGCTTCTTTTTATATGTATAAAAACGCGATTGCAGCCAGTCAACTGCGCTATACATGTAACGCGCGTTACAGCGCCTCGTAATGCAATTGCGTCTCAACCTTCGCTCGGGCACAGATGTTTCTCGACTCTCTGCTCGACTGCTCTCGTGGAAAATTCAACCGTGCCCGAGCGTCGATGGGTGTACACTGCATATTTTTTCATATACGACAAAAAATTTTCGAACAAACATCTCCGAGGGCGATGCTTTTACATTTCAACGTATTCTGGGCGCTCGCCTACGCGCGTGACTCGGTGACATCCAATTATCAAAATAAAAACACTGAAATAGCGTTTGCGGCTGAAAATGGGTAATAATATATTTTTTGATATGCGAATCGTGGAATTAAAATAAAACAACTTACTAATTTTATTCCAAATGCAGCAATTTTATTTACTTTAGCTCATCAGTTTATTGACAGTGCTTATTTTCATAGAAATACTGTTTTCTTCTAATCTCATCCATATTCATTTGACTACTTATATTTGATACTTTTTTAATTCTTTTTTTTATTGCATTTATATATTTTTTATTAGAAAGCAGTGCTTTTACTACGAGTACAGTTTTTCATAGTTCGTTATCCAAGTCTGTATCTATGCTCAAGTCGTCGTACACTGTGTCCTTCGACTCTGGTATCGGTAAGTGTGGACCAGTAATTTTGGTTATTCGCCCATCCTCATGTAACTATTGAAAAAATTAGATAAATGTACTACATTCACAGCTCTTCACGTGTGCGTTTTGTTTTGTTCAAAGTAAAAACAGAAGACTCATAGGAATGTTTTAAAAAGTGATTAAAAACCGTACTCCAAGTTATACAATTATTTTGACTTTGCAGATTTACAAACATAAAGGTACTCGCCATCTAGTGGTGAAGGCCTAAAATATTTTTATCTAAAGTGATTGATAACTGGTCCAAATTTTTTTCAAACAGCACAGTGCCTTTTCAGGTTAAAAACAAGCCAATTATTAATCATGCTTTAGTTCATTATTAATCTGAAGTATTTCCACCGGGGAAATTACCTACTTACTTATTTTAATTAAAATTAGTAATAAAAGTATCGAACAAATGTACCTTCAAGCCAATTTTTCTGTACAAGCAGGCTATGTATGAGTTTAAGTCTTCGATCGTTGGGAACACCGGATTAGCTATCAATATATTTAAGGCCTGTAACGAATCTTTTACAAAAACAGCAGATTATTGTCATGTGCAATCCAATCCATACAAACGTTAATAATTGCCTCGCTGTTATACCCTCGTGAATTCCAGTCTCGCTCAAACATGGTCCCATGTATTCCATTAATACTTGCTCGATATTCTTCTGCAGAATCCCCTACAATTTCAAGTAATTACGACCAATCGAACTTAGCTTTTTCCTTTCGTGGTATTTCATTGTGATATGTTGGTAGATATAGGGAAAAACTTACTGGAAACTGGTAGGCACTAACGAAACACAAGAGCGTCGTAAATGTTAGCGCTAGTTTCATTTTTTTTTCACAAAATTTGACAAATTTCGAAGCGTAGTTTGCATAAACTACTCGGTAAAAAGAATCGTTCAGCAAGACTAAACGTCAATCGCACGTTCTGTATCTCGTACGCTGCGAGCAGACGCAACTATTATCGTGAATTGCGAAAGCTCGCCGGGCACTCATCGTCTGATGCACGATATCACTGAAGCGTCATGTGTTATGATTTGTTAAGAAAATCTTATATTCATTCGAAAGTCAGAAAAGAAACGTTTACAAATTAGATAATGTTTGCGTGCGATGATGGAACAAAACTATGAATGATGTATTACACGATGTCATTGAGAACTTTGAGTAATTTATTCAACGCGCGTATAATGTAATTTTTTTCTTAATTTAAGAATGGCACAGCTGATTTTTTTTTAATTAACACGCGTTTATGTATATTAAACACGCGATAAATAATCTGCACGCTGCCAATCGAATGGAAAGCCTATGTAACCATTTTTATTTTATTAACTGTACACTCCTGAGGGATGCATTTGTTATCAAATAAATGTTTGGTTAAATTTATTTAATTTTGTGTACTGTAAATCAGTTCTATCGCATGAATATTTTAAGTTTATGATTGATAATATATGAATATATTCTAAGCTTAAAGTTTCTTGTAAATGTCCACATAAATATCAATTATACAGTTACATTTTTTCATACGATAGAGCACGTTTATGTAAAGTATACGAGAAATTGTTTGGTTTATGTGAGAGAGATCTAAGGAGTACTCGAGTTTAACGAGCTAAGTTTGATCAACAATTTTATTTTTATGCTGATCATTAACGAGATTAAAAAAATAATGCGGAAGCAAAGTACCGCGTCCGACCTCCAGATGGCCACATCTCAGTTTCCAACAAAGCTCCATACAAAGTAACAAAGATCGGGAGCCATATATAGAAGCGTGGATAGCACGACCAGCACAAAAGCAGAATAATGTATTCTTTTTATTAAAAACTTGAGAATTAAATATGAGTAAAATATAAATAAATAAAATTGATGATTTTTCGCGTTAATTTTCTCATTCTACTTTGCGTCCCGCGTAAAATTGCCTGCGACGTTGCACAGGAGAGAGAGCGAGAGCTTGTCCAAGTTTCGCAGGCGTGATATATACGCGCTTGTCACTCGGCTAAACGGCAACTATCACCGACGTCGACGTTTCTCATGCTTGTCTATGTCTCCGGAGGTAAGTTGACTCACTGTGCTTTCAAGCTCCAACTTGCCAAGAATGAGAGAGAGAGAGAGAAACACCTTAACGGCCCATTTACGTGGAATCCCACGGGTGAGTTTCCACGGCGTGGCCGCGCGTTAAGAGGCAACGGCAGCAGGCAGCAGCACCAGCAGAAAAAAAATTGTATAGATAAACATGAAAGGAGAAAAAGGTAGGAAGAAAATCGGGACACACGGCGCTGCAGGATGGAGACGTCGTCGTCCGTGACGAGCATTCCATTAACCTCCGGCAGTCTCGCGCGCATAAGTCTATCAGCTGTGATTAAGCAGTGCAGCGTTGCATCGTACGGATCAGCCATGATGCAGGGGACACTACGGTCGCACGTACGAGAAATAAAAGTTACAGATATCTGATTTTTCACGATACTTCTTGCCAATGGCGATTCCTTCTGCATATACATCTCCAGGCGTATCGCAGGGCGAGAGGCACAGCTGCACAGCGATCGTTTTCTTGGCTCGCGCTCGCCGTGCACGTTCCGTGCAAGGAATATACGTGTGCGTATGCGCACGCCTTGCCGAGCTTGCACACGTAACCGGCCGTGTGCGAGAGGATTCGACTGCGCGTATATATGTACGAGGCTGTTGCAAAGTATATAGATCTCCCCCCTCGGGAAGCTTAGTACGGAGGGCTCGCGCGCCACGAGGGAACATCTGCTGCTACCACTACTCAGCCTGCCCCCGTGTAAAGTGCGCCACTCTTTACCTCTCTGTCTCTCCCTGTCTCTCCTTAACTCGAGCTCTCTCGCTACTTTCTCCCCGAGTCGTTCGTTACACGATGGGTATACACGACTATGTCGGATGGACGAAAGCGACGCGCAGCAGTCAGGGCCGCCCTGTACATAGTCGAGTCGCTCGGCAGTGCAGCTGCAGTACTGTTTCCGTTGCATGTAATACGCTCGAGCGAGAAATTTGCTGATTTTGCAGCGTTAGCCTCTCGCGCAAGCTCTTTCTCGCAATTTCTACGCAAATTACGGCAATTTTTTCCTCTCCCTGCGCTTCCTTCAAATTTTCCCTACGCGTACGAAACAAAAACAAAAAAAATTAATTCCAAGCAAAAATTTTAGATTACGAAAGCGCGTGTACTTGTATCCGTGTACACGTATTTTTTCCTTCGTTGCTTTTGGATGCTTCGCGCGCGAAGAGAAAGAGAAATGTTTTATTGCGAATTCAAGATCGAGCTTTCGATAAAGCTGAGATTCTACCCGCGCGTGTATCTTTATATATAAATGTAGGTACCGTGTACAGTTTTCGCCGCCGACTCCGACGCCGGTGTCGGAGAAAGAGAGAACGAGAGAAGCTAACAGTCGTACATCAAGAGAAAAAGATAAGTCCACACGACAGACATACTTAAGAGCGCGAGCACAAAACAAGTCTGCTGCTCTGCCACGGCGGACTACGCTTTCTGTGTGTGTAGTGTAGCACTTGCAAAGGCAGCGCGGGAATATAAATAAGCGCTACAACGAGCGAAGCTCTTGCGCCAAAGTCGAAGGATTAAAGGATGAACGTGAGAGAGAGAGAGAGAGAGAAAAAGAGTCTGTGACAGGATTCAGACTACTGCCGTGTGCGTGTACCTGTATAAGGCAAATCGCTGATAACTACGTAAGCCCCCCCGCGCATACGCATATTTCGCGATATATCTCGATGATTGAATTTTATTAAAATATTTCTATTAAGCCGCGTTAAAGCGCAAATACGAGATGAAAAAGCTTCGATCTCGCGGCAAATGGAGACAAAAGCTCGCTATAAGTAAAGATTATCCCTGCACACGGCAGATGGTCGAGAGGGGGGCTAAAATTTTGAAGAAACTATGCTGCTACAGTGGTACTCGCCGTACAGAAGATATGAAAAATCGACGTAAGTGTACCAGCGGTTTCTTCGTCGTCGTCTTCTTCTTCTTCTGCGCCGGTTACCACGGATTTATGGGTGTTGAAGGGCGCGCCACTGTATAGCAGCCTTTGCCTCACTCTCTCCTTTTCTCGTCGTTATCTGCATTCTCGTGTGCCGAGAAACAGACGGAGCTGCGCGAGCGCGACGCAATCGATAATTACAGTTTAAAATTTCCTCCGAGACCAAAGAGGGAGAGAAAGGGTGTGTTTGACTTCTATGAAATGTTGTCGAATGGCGATACTAAATTTGTTATACATGTACGCATGGTTTATACTGTTAATGAACAAATTTTATTTAATTTTGTTGAAGTTACATTTTTTAACTTGCTTTGGCTATTCGAGGCACTTAATGCGACTTACTTACAAGTACATAAAAATTTTTAAAAAAGGTCGTTAAAAAACTGGAAGAAATGATGAACAATAATAATGATCACGTGTCATTACGAATTTTGAAGCCAATTTTTAACCGCTGAAAATACGATAATACTAGTTCTTTGAGCCTTGACCAGTAGATGCCGAAGCACCTTAATATATAAACCTGCAAGTGGCAAAGTGATAATAAATGTATAAGTCAGAACATGAATTTGACAAAGTTTCAAGCGATCTATGGTGTTATATATTTTGTTGCTCATTCGCTGTTAAACAAAAATCGTTCTGGTCTAATCTTGCGAGCATTCATACAATAACGAATATGCTAGGACCAATTGATGCATATAGATACCGCGACAATATGGGATTAGCAATGAATAAACACATCAAATAAATCACAAGATATCATTCTGGTGGAATGTCTATATAATATATTATCTACGTCCAAAGCCATCGTACAGCATTTCCACCACCACCCCAGCAAATCTATATTAAAAAAATTAAAAAATTCCAGCTAACTCTGTCGCCGAACTATACGACGGCGCAGGCAGGTATACTTGGGCAGGCACAGCAGCCGCGGCAGCGGCGGCAGTCAGCGTATATAACTGCTATAATATAATATAGAGGCATTGGCGCGAAACGTTGAGGCGGGCTGAGCCGCAGGGGCTGCTGCCGTGTCTGTAGGCGGCTGATTCGCTCTCACTTTGGCTCGCTCGCTCGTCTCTCGATGGCGCGCAACGTTCATTAATTAGCCTACGGCGTAATCTGGAAAATCCGCACGCGCGCGGAGCGGGCCATACTATATATAATAATAATCTGAAACGCGAACGCGTTTGCAAGCTCGAGCGAGCATCGGCCGGAAAATGGCCGTTTTCCTCTCTCTCTCTCTACCTATACACACTGTACTGGCCGTTACGCGTATACGGACGCACATTTTCTGTCTCCTCTGCCATTGTAAGCTCGCTGTTTGCGTTCGTGCATAGGTACACGAAAAGCAACAGAGTAGAAAAAAAAACACAACTACATTTCGGATGGTCGAGCGAGAGAGGAGAGATGTACGGTGCTATCGTTTGGGCGCATCGAAAGTGTCTGCCTCGCCGACTTTCCTTTTTTTAAAGCCCGTCGAGCTTTTTCGACATTTTCGCAGGGCCAGACACGCGGCTTAATAGATTCGTCGTTCCTGGCTCGAGCCCCTCAAGTAGCACGTGTACATAAACTCTTTGCGAAAATGTTTATTATGATCAGAGACGAGACATCTCAGTTGCCTTTCAGGGTGATAAAATCACATTATAAAGTCTCGACTTGTACAAGACGTTGAGTGCTCTATTTTAAAAATCTTGAAAAGATCAACTCGGTTCTCACTCGTTTCTTGACAATTTGGCAAAGTTTATTGAAAATAACTTGAAAAACATAAGTTTTAGTAATGTAAATCTTTTCGAAACCGATTAACTTATACAAATTATACAATTATTTTGACTTTGCCACTTGCAATTTCAAAGATAAAGGTATGCTAGCCATCTTGTGGTGGATTCGTAAATTAGATGGAAATAAAATCGTATTACAAAGTGATCGAAAACTATTCTAAATTTTATCATACAATTAAATTATCTATTTAAAGTCATTAAATAATGCACCTAATATTTGTAACACGATCATGACATAAAAATCGGCATAAGAAAACCAACTAATGATATTGTATTTTAAAAAATTTCTACATCAGGCATTTCAATTTACTTAACGTTTCCTTTAGTTTATGTTACTTCATGAATGCTCATCTAAAAATTGTAATAAATTCAATACTATTTTCATCTTCAGTTGTTAAGCTTTAATCAAAGTAAGTTTAGATCTTTTTCTTCGTAAAGACCCAACTAAATTTAATTGGTCAAAGAGATGGGTGTAATTTTCCCTATAAAATGGAGGAAAAAAAATCAGTTTCAATATAGGGTCTTAAATGATTGTACATCGAGGTGGATCTTCGAAAATAGCTTCCAAATTCAACCAATAAATGTGTCCCATCAATTGGTATTCGATACTTTCGAGTTCTTGTCAGGTGTTCTGATTACGGTCCAACTAACAACTGCAAAACAAATTGTTAAAAAAAAATCTTACACTTGGTTGGTTAGTACATGAGAAATTATGTATCAACCGAAGTAGATCCAACAGTTTGAGGGTCAACGATGCGACATCGAGAAGCGATTATCTACTATGAAATTATACTGATCTTGCTAAACGTGCACGCATACGCTTCGAGTTACATAAGTTTAAAACTATAAAGATCATATTTTATTTTTATTTTGAAATCATATTTTTCGAGCAAAGTATTTTATTTTTTCAGAATAAGAAGTAAGCTGGTGTGCATGAGAAAGCAAAGGTCGAGGGTAGAAGAATGAGGCTGGATTCTGTTCGTCGTCCGCATCTCTGATCGATATCACACGTTGTCATTTTACAGCTAGCTGCAACCTTTACAGGTTATTACAAATAATATTTATAAGCTCTCTTTGATTTTTTAATATTCATAGTTTTATTTAATTATTCACCCAAGAAGCTCCATATATTATATCCGTCGCATGACATGTTTTCGATAAAATACACATTTTTATGCAACTTGAATTAAAAGGCTTTCTACTAATTATTTTACTGTATAACTTAGAATCGACTGATTCCAGGCACTACGTTAGACCACCGATAAAATCGACCGCTACAGAATTTTTCTCCGCAACAAGCACGAAAAGAAACAGAGAGTAGAGTGCACGCTCGCAAGCTTCTTTTCTCCACTCCTTTCCTCCGATCGTGTATACATTTTTTTTGCTTTTTTCTCTTTCCTTTCTAGCCCTTTTCTCAAGCTACAGCAAGCTGAATTTTGCCGATGGAATTCGAGCGCGATGGAAAAGCGATAAATTACTCGACGCAATACGCGTCCAAAGACTGGCCTCTTTAGTCTCGTCGGCTTAGAGTTGGCTGCTGCGGCAATCGAGAGGAGCTGCTTTGATTTCGCCTAGTATAATACTTACTTCCGCCTGTAAGGAATCGCGCACAAGGAGTCGAGGACTCCACCGGCAGCACAGTGTCGAAGCTCAGCTCTCTCTCTCTCTCTCTCTCCTTTGTGCGCACGAGTGTGTCTGCGCGGCGCAATTGCCTAACGAAGAGCAGAGGGAACTGCCGAGGCTGCTGCAGCCAACGTCGCAACGTCGAACGAGTATAACGACAATTCAGAGATATAGAGAGGGAGAGAGAGCAGCAGCAGCTAACCCTCCGAGCCAAGCTCGGTCCGTAGTTATATGTAGACAGCCAAGGTTATACGATGCTAAAGCTTGGGTAAGAGTTGGTAATGGCAAGTTGCAGCAGTAGCAGTGGGCGTCTCGTGCAAACGACGTCCCTTGGCCTTGGAATTACGTACCGAGAATTGTGCGAAGGGTAGTTTACCCCGTCTGCGCGACGGTTATTATTTTCAAGGTTATGGAGATAGCGAGAGAGGGAGAGAGAGAAAGGCTGGCAAATGGCATACCACGATCCACGAAATTAACCTTTTCGACCGTGTCGACGCACAATGCGCGGAGAGCTGAGCTGAGCTCGAAGCCGAGCATCGGCCGCGGCAGCGCACAGCCCCGGCCAAGCGGAACTCGTGCCGCTGCAAGTTGTTGAGCGAATTTAAATGACGAGCGAAGGGGTACACCAAAAATGTAAAATTCAAATTGCTTCACGCGCACAAACTTCGCTCTTAAAATGTATGCCTACGTTGGACGAGAGAGAAATAGCGAAAAAGAGGAAGAATTTTATCTCGATTCGAATTTGAGCCAGCGTTTTAATTTTTAATCCATTGTCCAATCTACAAATTGCACGTGTTCACGATGGGCAGCATGTTGTTGAAAAAGTTCACGAAGCCCTTGTACCATTTCGTATACCAGGCCCGGCCCTTGATTATGCCGTTGATCCACTTGGCGTAGTGCGAGACTTTGGAGTAGATGTCGGGCACGCCGTTGCCGCAGTGTTTCACGGTGCTGACGACGCCGATCTGATAGCCCCGAGCGTCGACCAGAGGTCCACCGGAATCTCCCTGTTACGTGTGTGTCATTTCGGATTAACGCCATTGGAATAGATGGATATCGCGTCTATGCGGTATACTCGTGTTCGGCACTCACGTTACAGAATCCCTGATTCTTTTGCATTTTCGCGCAGAGCATACCCGAGTCGATGTGCGTTATGGTCTCGTTGGCGTGCTCGTAAAGCTTCTTGCATTTCTCCGTGTCCTCGACGAGGACGGTCAGCATTTCCATTTTCGTCGGTATCCGGCCTTTTTCCTTATTTGTTTTTTTTTAATCAAAATTCATTCGTGTACGATGAAAACGACTCGCAAACAGAAAATAATATAAAAAAATAAGTAAAAAGACGATGATACAAACTTTAATTCTGCCCCATCCGGTGAGTATCGCTGTCGTGCCCTCCGGACTCTGATAATCAGCAGCGGGCGGTAATCCAATCGGTTTGACCTTCTCGTTAAATTCTATATCTTCTTTCAAACGTATCAGGGCTATGTCGTTCAATCCCTTCTCTTTAATCTGCAAAAGGCAACGCGATATCGTGATTACTTTCTTTTTTTCTCCTCCTCGACGCTCCTCGCTTTTCATTCATCTCGCCTTACGTTGAAATCATCTCCGCCCAAATGACACTGATGAACGAAGAAAGCCTCGGCTTGGTACTCGACTTTGTCGGGGCTGCCGAGCTCGTGAGTACCCACTGCTACGTGGGTCGTCGCGGGTTCCTCTCTTGTTCATGCAAAAAAAAAAAAAAATGATTTAGTCATTCTTTAATCGTCCTCGAACTCTGTTCATTATGTATAGTATATAGATATTTGTACGTACCCGTCAAGACAATGCGCCGCAGTGAGAACAAAACGTTTGTCGATGATCGAGGCTCCGCAATAGAATCCGTCGTACTTGACTTTGAGGATGTTCTTCAAGTAGGCTTGGTACTGAAAGCGATCCTCCGGGGCTTCGGACCCTCCCAGCATCCGCAGGCGACTAGCTATATATACACAAGATCGAAAAATAATTTGCAGGGCTTGGTACTTTCCTTCACGCACTCGCGTATTATTTACAAAGCAGTAAAGTTGAACGAGGTATGTAAAAAAAAGGGAGGGAGTAAAGAGCCACGTACCATTGCCAAGACAAAAAATTGCCACTGTAATAACTAAAATTAGAAAATTCTTCATCGTTCCAGGAGGGCTCGAGTTCACTCTCTCGCTCCGCCAAAAACGATGTGTAGAATTAAAGTCGCTACTCATGAAATTCCACGCGTGCTTCGGCGCAACGCGTGTCTCGTAATTTTGCGTTTAAACGTAATTATTATTTTCGTGCAGCTCGCATTATATTATTATATGTGTGTGTATGTTGGCGCGCGCACGAGTTGATCGTTAAATGTAGTTTCGAACGGTATAATTACTTGCAGGCTAGCTCCATTAGATTCACGAAAGCAGAAAGAAGAAAAAAAATCGTCACTCCTTATAATACGCTCTATAATCTAATATATTCGTCGGAGCAAGCCGAGGAAGATTATCCTTAGTTAGTCTAATAAACACCTAATGTTTCATGCAGTGCACAGGCGGGGAGGAGGGTACGGAGAGGGACTTGATCGATAGACCCACTTAGCGTCAGTAAATGAGCGCACAAAACTTTGTGTGTTTTCTTTAGCTAACGCTTCGCTCTCACCCGGTCTGAAGAACTTGAAAAATCGCCGAAGAAAAACAAAACACAGAGAACGAGACGCGGGGCAAGATACATTCTATTATCCCAGATGTACGCAGAAAAGTGCGTACAATGAATTATTTCATCTGGCACGACGAGCATAGCTGTTTTCTCCCCCGGGAGCGGTATTAAAAATAAAAATAAAAAAGAAAGGACGGAAGGAAGAAGAAGTCATCCACGCGTGTGTAGGGTAGTTTTCTTTCTCTCTCTGTACGTGCGTCTATATTTTTTCTCGCACTCCCACACACAACCGCCTCAACAGCCTTACGCGCGCTGCTGTATACAATTTATTTTCGCCGGATCGTCTGAAAGCGAAGGATACAAGTACGCGAGCATATATAGTCGTGACGAGTGACTTTCATGCCAAGCCGTGTACAATACAAGTTTCGCAAGTCCAAGGTCGGACCCGAGCTTGCCAGGATTTTTTTCGTCTTTTTTTTTTAAGACTATTACGCAAACGACGCGCTTATACACACGATGTGCCTCTGCGGGCGAGAGGGATGAAAGTCGCGCGCGCGAGAGACTCGAGGGGACAAGGCAATACGGTTAAATAAGATTTATCGTTGCGATGGGTGCGTTTGAGAGGCTTTGCCGCAGCAGCAGCAGCAGCAGCAGCGGCTCAACTGCCGAATGCAGTGTATACGAGGGTATATAACAATGAAAACTGACGTGCTATCTTAGGCGCGCGATTAATCCGCGCTCGCGCGAATATAAATTTTGATAAATCTATTTTCCTCGTTCGCACTCTGGATCGCGCCACGTTATTTGTCCTCATCTTTCGACGCGAGCCAGTTGATGACGACGACGAGAGACGACTGTAACTAGACTTTTCGTGATTGCGCTTTAATCTCGCGCGCAGTACGATTACTGTCACACTTTCCGAATTTTCAAGTTTCATGCGTGCGCCAGACTCATCAAAATTGTTCAAGTCTCAATTTGACAACGATGCACGCGAGCTTTGTACCGTGCTTTACATTATGTGTAATTTAATTTCGAGCAATAAACGCGATGTAATTATAAGTAAGTTGCTTTTTCATAATTTAATACTTGGCATTGTTATGGCTTACTTCCAAATGAAGCTTCCAGATTCATTAGGGAGAGATCGTATTATTATTTTAATTAAAACGAGAGAAAAAAAATATAACGAACGAAAGCTCGAGCGGAGCGAGATTTCAATTTCTAGTAATCCACACGAGAGGCACAAATCAGAGAAAGACTCGCGCGTCAAAGGGTGAATGCAATCCATGGACGCGCGCGAGCCTAATAACTAATTGTTACGGATACCCTCCATTACAGTTTTGCCATCTGCAAAGGTATATATAGACGAGCTTGGTTACGGATTATAGAGCACGCACTAATGAGAGGCAAATTGGGTCAGGACGTATTTTATGTATGTCGTCTATGTGTGCACCCATCGTGGATCGACTAGACTCGAGTGATACCGTCGCAGCGTGTTAGAGATCCGTAAGAGAGAGAGAGAGAGAGAGAGAGAGAGAATTCGAGTGTAATGAAGTCTAATTAACGTTTACCAACGAGAGCATTGGCGTCGTCGTCGCCGTCGTTTCTCGCCGATGCCTCGACGCGTTCGTCATGTTTGTCATCGCGACGTGCGAGTGCCGTGTGCTCCTATGCATCAAGTGTTCATCAAGAACCAGCCTCGGCATTGTTTGCCGAAAAATGATCAGCTGTGTGTAATGATTACAAAAAAAATCCAGTCAAAAGGAGCGAAAAAAAATCGGATGGAATTGGAACGACTGGAAAGGCGCTAATGAAGTTTTACCTCAGTCTCCAGTGATTTAGCACAAAGGCAATCAAGTTCTGGTATACAAGGCAAATCACGTCAATAGACCCCCTGTTCTCTCTTGAGAATCATGTTTTACTTATTTATATAATTACTTTGACTTTACCACTTACAGATTTGCTGATAATGGCACTCGCCACCTGGCGTAGCAGTTTTAAAGTTATTGAAAACTCGTTTAATTCTTCGAAACAATAAAATCATTTTTATGCCATATATAACGCACTAATAATTTCTAACATGATTGTAACAAAAAAATGCCAAAACGAGCCAACTAATAACAATATGTTTTCAAATCTTTAAAATCGTAATTTTTTGGTCATCGTGGCATAATTGACGATAAGTTCTTATAATAATGCTACCGCTTATGAATGTCTGTTCTTCAGGACCCGTCCACATTACATAGAGACTAATTTATTACCTGAAATAAGGTCAGCCTAGATACATTTTAAACAAAAAAGTAATATTTACCGTATTTTGAATGATTTACTACAGCCTGAGTATTTGGTAATCCTTTATGATTTGGTTTTTGAGCAGACTTGTTCCGGGTGCAAACGATTCTTGGGTAAGTTATCTGCTTCTTGCACTTGGTAAGTAATATACTGTATTTGAAGATTTTAAAATGGGAATAAAAAATTACTTAAACTTTATTAATAATTACAAGGCTTTAGTTCAACGATAAATAAAACGATGAGAATTTTTTTTTATGCTTCACATATGAGGTACGACTTAATGATCATAGATAGACATCAATGAAATAATGTAGGACAAAGATAATTGTATAATCTAAAATAGAAAGTAATTTGATATAAAGATTTTTGCTGAAATACGTCTTAATAGTATTATTCAAAGTTACCTGTCGACTTGTTTGATAAATCAAAAGTTTGCTTGGCCCAATTTTAACACTGCATGGTCTGCTGGATCTCACCATTATTAATTGTATCATTTTCCTAGTTTTTACCGAGAATTTATGCCAATCAGTGGTATAACTATTTCGGGCACCAACGACCAAAAAAAAGAATTAAAAATAAAAATTCGATGATACACGAGAATCGAAGCACTTACCAGTTGTCAAAAATTTCACTGCTAGCATCGTAGATTTTCTGCGAGGGATAACATGAAAAGAATAAAAACTCCCCGCACAGCATGTAAACAAAACCCATTTTCAGAGCAAAGTGCACATCCTCTTTATATTCAACTACTATCTACGAGAAAAATTTTATAAGATATTATAAAATGTCCTGTTTTATTGTCAACTTAAGAATCGTACCAAACATCCGGAAATGCTAAGACCGACAATCACAATCACCATTCCAAAAAATAATACAGGAGTAGTAACTGTATTTAGTGAATCAAAGAAACTAATCAGAAAATAAAAATACTAATTATTGAAATAATTCGTAATTGTTCAATTAATTATTGAATTATGTTAAATTTAAATTAAAAAAAATTATAAACCAAGGTTAGGAAATGAAATACTAAATGTAATTACTTAACTAGATACAATATTGATGAAGTTTAACTAGCTCAGTGATACGTTTGAAAATTTCTTCGTCTTTTCCCAAAGAGTCCTTTGTTTGAGACAAAATCGAAATCTGTTTCAATTTGAATCTAATTTAAAAAACCACTGTATTTATTTTGATTAACAATAAATGAATGATGAAAATTGATTTTTAAATACCCCATAAATCTAAATTTTCCTACTATGTAACCAACTCCCGATAGGTAAGAAAGTGCTAAAGTTGAAGCAACGACTTGTGCTATATAACATAGTATTATTATAATGATGAAATAATAGTAAAAGTGGGTGTTTTCGTCTACGAATAATTCCAAGTGAATAGAGAATTTTGTTTGAAATGTATGATTTCCTGATAAAATTAAAGTTGCTGTGATAGGCCATAATATTGGAATTACGATGAAATACATGGTATAGGTGCCACATGCAAGACCTAGAAAATAATTTAACTCTTTGTTCAATGAAATTCATTCAATTTGATTTATGAAGCGCAGACCTGCGATTATGTAAGAAGTTAAATTAGATACATCGATGTAGTTTTGTAGACATTTTTTCTCCTCGGAACTACATTCGAACAAATTCCTTATCATAATAACCATTAACTTTCGTATCTTTCAAAATGAGTTGGATAAAATTAAAAAAGTCTAGTTAATTAATGATGCTTGTTTCATATCTCTCTATGTAATAAAAATTGTAAGTGCTTATTTTTACCGTCCAGGTACTTTGTTTGTCCAAAATTGTAGAGTACATGGCTAACATAATAAAAATTTGTAGAAGAATTTGAACGATTAATTCCGTTGCTAAATTCATGTTCAATTCATGATTTATTGTTACTCGTACCACATAAAACAACTGCAAATGGCAAGCAATCTATATACATTCTAACTTGACTGTTAATTATAAGTAAAGTATAAAATTGGAAAAATGTTTTATAAAATATTACCGTAGATATGACATATAGAACGTAATAAACAAATGATAACCGTGATGCATACTTCTTTTTACCACTCCAGAAAGGCCACGTAAGCGACATCTTCATGAAAGGCACCCACAATGGATATATTTTCCTGATACATTTTTCAAGATTTGATATATCTTCTTCTGATAAATGTTTGATTTCGCTATCTTCAATTTTTCGTTGCAAAATAATCGGCCAATATTTTGACATGATTTTACCAGTTAAA